GCTTATAAATACAGGAAAAAGACTTTCTCTAAAGCCAAGACTAACAAGCATGCAGTAAGTCATCATATTAGTGAAAGATCAAGGTACTATACATATATATTTGGGAAGCAGATTCTGCTGAACTGTGGAAGACATCTTGAGGTGCTTTTTAAAGGAGCTGTAACTCATAAAATTGAAGGGTTTTATTAAATTCCAAAATCATAAAGAAAATTCCTTCATATCAAAAATCTTTGTATTGGTATCAGCTCTGTCATTTTCAGTGTTAGTCACTGTGGCTGTGCTGAAACTCAAACAGCTGAGCTTCCCCAGGGCTTCTTGAAAAATGAGTCTCTGCTAATTCCAGCATTTGTGTATACTGAAACTTTACATTGTAACTAAATTACAAAAACCTCTCTTCCTTAAATAACTAGCAATGCACTAAGGCCCTGATTCTGCAAAGATTTAGGCATGTAGGTCCCACTTCCAAGCATGTTATTATGTCATGTTTGGCAAGATAGATGCCTAAAAATGCAGACTACTTTTCAAAAGGCTGCAGAATTGGTTTTTAAGCAAAGTCATATCAGGAAAAAATCTTTTGTTTGAATTCATGAATTACAGCTTGTAACAAGCTCTTGAAATCACCAGGAAATTAAAACACACAGGAAAAACATAAAGTGTGTCAATGAAGGTTGCTTTAAGAAGTGGCTTGGACCCGCTAGGAACTTGTCCCATTAAATATTTCCACTGCTCTCAGACTGATTAACTGCTAGGAATGAGGTGTCTAGGTAGCACTTCCAGGACATGCATATGGTGGTGTGTGCTGCGAGTAACTGGGAGGCAGGAAGGGGATTAGAAGTTCTGGTCAGAGAAACAATCCTGCTGGAAGCTGGAAAAATAGGATCTCTAACACCGGAGGAAATAAGGCCAATGCTGATCACATGAGAGAAGAAAAAATCTGAATTTGAGTAACAGTCATGCCTCATTTATTAGTTTTTATAAATAATTATGTTCATAACTCTAACTGCAGAAAAGAATGGGCAACTGATTGCTTGCGGCCATGAAGGAAAAAGGATAGTTGTGACCCAGTATCTCTAATCAGTGATTGAAGGAAACCTGAGAGCGGCTTCAGTTAACTCTCAGTATGGAAGGGATGGCGATCTCCTTGGCATGGAAATATAAATATCGTGCTACTACATGGTCCATAGATAAATAATGACACAGCACATCACTGGGGCTGCAGTGTCAATAAAGAGCAGATAATGAGTCCCTAGGAGATGTGATTCAGCTCGGCCTATAAAGCTGAGCTTTGTAGGAGAGGATGGGTCCATGGGAAGAAATAACTGAAACTAAAATGGTGGGTAGCTCCTTCTCCTATCAATAGGGACCTACCAAATTCATGGTCCACTTTGGTCAATTTCATGGTCATAGGATTTTAAAAATTGTAAATTTCATTATTTCAGTTATTTAAGTCTGAAATTTCATGGTGCTGTAATTGTAGGGATCCTGACCAAAAAAGGAGTTATGGGAGGTTGCAAGGTTATTGTAGGGGGGGGTTGCGGTACCACTCCCCTTACTTCTGCGCTGCTGCTGGTGGCAGGACTGCCTTCAGAGATGGGCAGCGGTGGCTGCTGGCAGAGTGCCCAGCTCTGAAGGCAGAGCCACTGCCAACAGCACCACAGAAGTAAGGATGGCCTGGTATGGAATTTCCGCCTTTATTTCTGTGCTGCTGCCTCAGTCAGCGGCCGCCCAGCTCTGAAGGCAGCAGCGCAGAAGTAAGGGTAGCATGGTATGGTATTGGCACCCTTATGTCTGTGCTGTTGCTGGTAGGGTGCTGCCTTCAGAGCTGAGCATCTGACCAATAGCTGCCGCTCTTCAGCCACCCAGCTCTGTAGGCAGCAGAGAAGTAAGGGTGGCAATATCGCAATCCCCCTGAAACTCCCTTTTGGGCCAGAACCCCCAATTTGAGAAACGCTGGTCTCCCCTGTGAAATCTGTACAGTATGGGGTAAAAGCACAAAAAGACCAGATTTAAGGGGGGAGGGAGGAGGGAGACCAGATTTCACGGGCCATGACACATTTTTCATGGCTGTGAATTTGGTAGGGCCCTACCTATAAACCACAACCACATGTCCTGACACTTTTACCAGGTGAGAAGATGAGGTAAAAATTTCTCAGTATGAACTTCTTAGCTGATCTCAATTGAAGTCGGACGGATACTAACGCTAATGTTTTCAGAAGAGAAAGGGGCAGTAGCTGGGAGACTTACACTGGTATTAATGGGAGTGACACCACAAAATATTGAGGATAAAGTTAACTTTTAATTTAAAACTGTAATATTTATATTATTTATTTTGATTTCTCTAAACCCCTAGTATATTATTTATAAGAACACATAAAAAGGGTCAATGTAATCCACCCTCCCAACCCATTTCAAATGAAACCCTTCCTTCCCCAAGCACATCCCCCCCAAATCATTTTCTTTTATATAATTGCATGTATTGAAGCAGGTGATGTAACTCGGCATAGTTGGGTTGACTTTAGCAGAGCTATACTGAGTTGATCATCTGACCCTTAATTTTTTCACATAATGCTCTCATCTTTTTATTAAATGTTCTCTTCTTTCGCAGAAGACATTCTTATCATTGTTAATTTTAATTTTTTCTGGACTGAAAGCCGCTTTGACTGGTATCAGTTAGGCTCCTATTATGCCTTGGTTTCAAAAATTTTTTGTCTTTTGTACGTAGTACAAATCTCTCATTCTGCTAAAAACACAATGGTCCTATAAATCAAAAAGGATCTTCCTCATGTAAGGCAAACCCAGAATTTTCAAGACTAAGTCAAGAGACTTGAATGTCATTGATTCACAGACTGCAATACCCACCAGTCTTCCTAGAAGAGGCAGGTTTCTTGACACTATGATGACTTTAGGCTATTAAGAAACATTTCTTTTCTCAATATCTACTGGCAAAAACAGAGTTGCTGTTTTATTTTAATGAAAAAAGTCTCTTTAGTCTTGTTACTATGCAACAACACATTCTTGGTTCAAAAACAGTAACCTTTTTACTGGTTAGTTTTGATGTCCTCAGGACCACATTGTCCTCAAGTGTCCACATTTTCTTTGGGGTCATTTTTACCATCATTTGGAAAAAACATTTCTTTTTCTGGGGTTTTCTTAACTACTCCTGAGGTGGCACAATGGCTAGACAGACGTTCTTCACAACTGGCTGACTTAGTGCGTTTAATAGTGCCCACTGCAATGCTTAGTATGGGGATGACTAATTAGTACGGAAAATGTAGAAATTGACCTGAGCCTTTAATCAAACCTAAATCTAACAATTTTGAGAGCTCAAATAGATTTTTTTTTATTTAAAAATACTTTACATTTTCCTATCTTTGTAATTCCTGGTTCTGTCTGGAAATGACACTGTAAATGCCAAAATACCACTAGAAAGGGTGAGGGTATTTTTGGACCAACTGGTGTCAGGAGGTAATGTAAGTCTCATGAAAAAGCCTTTTCTTTTGAAATTTCAGGTCCTATTCTATATATTTTAGTGGTTCAGATACTTTTCAGAAAAGTATCTGAAATTCTGATTGCTTAGCCAAACCCCCTCACCTCACCTCATATTTTACTTATTTTATAATTACAAAGGCTTTGGTTATTTTAAATTCTTGTTTCTTCAGGTTAAGGTTCATTCTGAACTTTCTACTATTTATTTTACAGAATTTATCATAATGTATCATCAGTCCTTGCCCGCACCCTATGTCTTGCTGAGGCGTTTCAGTTATACATTTCTAGAGTGTTAGGGCTTTTAGCTATCGTGTTCCTTGTCTTGGAATTGTTATACTTTACTTGTAGATACTATAGTGGACTACAACAGATCTTTAAAACTGATTGTAAGGCTAAACTTTGCTTATCACAGCTATTATCTTATTATTTATTTTCTTAAAGCTCTGGGATTTTATTAAGGGGTCTATATAAGTCTGCAGTTCTTACGTTTTTCTGCATTGTATGTAATAGTTCTTATCATACATACATATTGGTGGTAATGACTTCAGAGGAATCACTATGGACCAGAGGGAAAGAAAATTAATTTGTAAAGCTCTGTAAGGACTTAAATCCTGCAAATACTTATGAACAGGGTTAACTTTACTACTCTGAGTAGACCCATGGATTTTTTACGGTGTTAAATTTAAGCATGAGTAAATGTTTGCAGGATTTGGGGCTAAATGTGCATTGATATATTCACATACATTTCAAGATATCACTAAATACATACTTATATAACATACACCATTGCAGTCTGTCAGGTAACGAATATGTTTCAATATGGCTTGAAATTATACACACGTTTTAAAAGCCTTTTAAAAAGTTGGAACAGAAAAAATTCCAAGGAAATACAAACACAAAACAAAATTTAAAAATAAGATTAAAGGGTTCTATTACCACTTCCAAAAGAGCAAATGCTGTCTCTTTATTCAGAATTGACTTTTATTATGTCATCCATGTAAATTCTTGGTTGTCTGATAAATGAGAAAGCTTAAGAAATAAATTATAAAATGAACACTACAGGCTCACGCTTGCACAACTGAAGTCAGTGGGAGTTTTGCCATTAAACTGATGGGAGTGGGATCAGCCCCTATGACTCCAAATGTACAGAGAAATACCAATAGAAGTGTATTAGAAGGGATTGTTTTATCAAGCAAGATTATAAGAATGCATCAGCAACTCCTAGCACACTCAGAGATGCCGCTAAAGAGTTCAAAGTGCTCCTACCAGTAGATATATTTTAAGTATTGCCTGTACAGGGTTGGCATAGCTGAAAATGATGTGTTCATATCTTCCGCACCAGTACAAGAAAGCACTTAAGCATGCTCATAAGTCCACCCATATTCAGGAAAGCACGTAAGTATGTGCTTAAGTGCTGTGATCTAAATGTGTAATTGATACTTAGTATACAATAAATGTAATTTTAATACACACACACACAGAGAGAGAGAGAGAGAAAAATAATGAAAACCCACCATATTCTGGAACCTGGCCTGTTCCGCGCTTTAACAAAAGCCGAACTCTCCTGCCACCAGACTTGATTAGCTCTATTGCTCTGGCATGTGTCATGTCCCTTGTACTTTCCCCATTGATTTCAATTATTTGATCCCCCACCTGTCAGGTAAGAAAAATATCAAATCAGGCAAAAATTGCAATAAAATGAACATTTAAAAAAATAGGCATATTCAGTGGATCACAGGTTTCCTGAATGACAGCCAGACACATCCAGGTACATTTGTTCCGATCTATCTGAAGGACAGTATCAACAGACTAAATAACCTGCAGAATGGATTCTGAGTATGGAATATTATATTGCTCATCTTTTGTTAAAATTAATGTATTGTGGTTGTAACATGTCTCATGCCTTCTATACAAAAAAGGTTTTTTTGACTGCTTGATGTGCTGGAGTCACTGGAAACTTTTCCATCTCTTCTGTGTTTTACTGGATTGATTATCACTGAAAGCAGTACTGTATTGGCTTTGCTGTTGTCACATAGGACCCTGAAGTTAATGGTATAGACACACTGGCCTATCAGTGATGATATCAAAATCATGTTAAGTGAGCATCATCCCATTTTAAAGTACCATTTGAAGCGCTAATATTAAGTAAATTAGGAAAGTTTGGCGTCCCAAGCTAATTCTTTCGTAGGTTAAATAGAAACATCATGGTGCTTGTGAGATCATATATTGAATTGTGCATTCATAAAAAACTGCCCTGCTCTTTCTAAATGATGGACTAGTATAGTCTAATGAACCGAGAACTATAGTGGGACCAACAAACTACTGAGTTCTAATTCTAGCTCTGTTGCCACTGATTTGCCATTTGACTGATGTCCACAGTCAGGTTCATTATTATTTCTGTCAGCCTTTGTTTCCTTTTCCATAAAATGGGGCGATTTACTTACCAGCTGCACAAGAGGTGTTGTAAGGATTAATTTGCTCATGTTTGTATGTTCTTTTGAAGCAGTTGGGTTATTTAAGAATTAGTTTTATTAAAGGAATCTGTCACTACTCAAAATTGAAACGTGGATACAAATTGGTATACATTTCACAGCAGTTTCTAAGACCTTAGTTTTTCTTTTGCATGTGGTATATTAATCATATATGTTAGCGATAATGGGGAAACTATAAGAGATTCATACCTTGGGTTTAATTCAGTTAAGTGGATACTTATCTAACTTCTGAAAATCTTGAGGCTGCTAAATTGGTGTAGGGCTCTGTGTTTTGGCCCAGGCCTGATGCTCTCTGGCTGGCTACCAGCAGCTCAGTTTTTTAGCTTCAGCTGCCTTGAATGGATCTAATATCAAGTCCTGCCTGTCCTGATGTTTGCTGCCTTAAAGTGGTACAGACACAGGACCTGCAAGCTTCCGCAGCTCCTCTTCCCTTTTGCTTGTCCCTGTTCCCATTATGCAAGGGGTAGTGGGACTGAGGAAAGCCAGAGACAGCGAGGGACCGACCAGACGGCTAAGCAAACTGACCAAATGCTAGAGAGTAAGCGGGTCTGATGGCTATGCAGCAGCACACTCATTAATGCAGGATCAGGTTCCCAAAGGTTTCTGCCTATCACTTTTATCTTGTGCTCGTATGAGTAACACTCTGCACCAGCTCTCAGCAGTATCAAATCTTTTCCGCATTTTACAGCCTAAAGTACATCACATGTAAAAATAAGTATTTGCATATTGTATATGTACAGTTCACACCCCTTTGTAATATGTCTGATCCATAGCCACTTGCAGTCCCCACACTCCTGTCACCCTCCCAGTTTTGGTACCTATTTGAGTCTGCTACCACTGTCTTACTGAGAAGAGCTGACTTTCGCAGAGACTTCACATCTTCTCAATGATTAGGGGAGAGATTGCTTTCAGCCATATCTGGTCAGCATGGGAGAAATTGGTAGAGAAAGTGTATATAAAAGCAAATCTGATGTGGTTCATGCAATGCAATTACACAGCCTCCCCCTCATTTTGCAGGACAGTTATATCAGCAATGTGGCTAAGCGACCGGTCGGTGAGCACGCTATTAGCAGCACATCAGCCCTTTCGTTAATATTTTGCAGCTGTGCTGAAGAAACCACCAATTCATTTTGCCTGTAACCAAACTCCAAAATGCAGCACTGGATGATATCGGAAGGAGCAGTGGCAATATAAACAAGATGCAGTTGCTGAAGATCAGCGACTCAGGAAGAATCACTAGGAAAACAGCGGTGTAGGTTAAACAATAGTATTTATCAGTGCTAGGACAGCTTGTCTGCTTTGTTGTAGCTCAACAGGATCAGAACTCTATTTACCTGCATCTAGAGCCTTCTCACAGTGGGAGGTACTTGACTGCTGGTCATGTGTATCTAATTTTAAAGTGACTGTACCAAATGTATTGTAGGGAGGAATACAGAGAGACTATGAAGACTGTATGATGTCATGCCCTGAGCAGAGAAGTGCCAGTGCAGATACAACGGAGGAGGTGTTTTTAAAACTCCTTGATTAAAACCCTTTGTAGGTAGGCACTCAGGAAAATTATGGTTCAGAGTACAGTCCTTCTTGTAAAGCCCATAGCAACTCCTCTGCACTCCTGAGTGGACAGAGATTTTAATCCATTTTAATATGGAAAAAGGTTAAGTTAATATCATATTCTCCACCTGCCCCCCGCTGGTTGCCCTTGTTTTGGTCTCATTGGCCATATTGAAGAAAATAACTTGCTATTAAAATAACCTTTTATATGTTTAATGGATTAAAATATTTCTTTCAACATAGGCAGCAAATAGCTGAGTCACTACGGAGTTTTCAACTTGTTTTAAAATATAAAAGAATGTGAAAATAACATGAGACGTTTTAAAAGGGCCAAAATCCTAGTCCAACTAATTAACATCTCAAGGGGAAATTGGTCCCTTTTGTTGGGGCACTTGGGCCAGATTTTCAAGAGAGCTCAGTTCTCCTTTAGGCACCTAAATGAAGTGGCCAGGTTTTAAAGCGTGCTCATCGCCCAGCAGTTCCTATTGAGAGCAAAGGAAAGTGCTGCAGGCAGAATGCCTTTGAACATCTGGCCACTTCATTTAGGGGCTGAACGGGAGCTGTCTGAAAATCTGACCATTATTGTAAAGCGGCATTTCTGCAAAAGTCAGCTGTCTCTCAGGAAGGCATGAGACCTCAGCCACAGAGCAACCGTTTTCCACTTGGAGGTCTTAAAAATGTATACAAAGTTTATAGGGTAATGTACCAACATTGCCATTGTACATTTAGTCACTCTGGCCCAGATCCACAAAGGTATTTAAGCACCTAACTCCCATGCTTAGGTGCCTATGTCCAAGTTTTAGCCTCCACTTGGAGTCACAAAACTCCCGCTTGGCTGCTGCCTAACCCTGAAAACACCTAAACTCACTCAGTGCCTAAGTTTTTGCAGTAGAAGTTCCCTAGCTGCCAGAGTTTCTGCCTCTAGGTATGTGCACTGTTGCCTCACTCAAGGCACTCAGGCATCTATTTCCTGCCTAACCCCCGAGTGATCCATGAACCAGGAAATGTTCATTTCACCCCTGGGGCCCAATTGGGTAGGTTGCCTCTTAGCACGCCTGCTGGATTTTCTAGGTGCCTACAAGTTAGGCATTGTGACAATCAGCATTGCCATGCCTCAGGCCTGGTCTGCACTACACAGTTAGGTTGATGTAAGGCAGTGTACATTGACCTAATTATGTCAGTGTACACACTGACACACCTGTTGCAGAGGTAAGGAGGCAGTGGGCTGGCTGGCTGCCCCCAGAAGTTGATGTTATACGGGGGAAATGGAGTGCTGCAGACTGGTCCGTCCCTATCAACAAGCCACAGGAGGAGGGTTGGGCCAGTTTGGTACCCACAGAAGATGTGCATGGAGGGAGGAATCTCACATGAGAAGACTTCTCAAGGCCGTGGGAGAGACTTCTCAGGGCCTGCAGGAGTAAAGGTTATTTTCTGTGTTTATTATATGAGGCCTGTGAAGAAAGGAGTGGTGTTAAGTGGGAAAGGCATAAAATGATCTGGATAGTCCCTAAATGGTTTAGATAAACATCCCCACCTTTCTGGATGCTTATCTGAACCAAACCTCAAATCCCTGGAGAATTAGCATCTGGTACTAACATGTCGTGTTGGTGTAATTTTTTGTGTGGCAGACCGCAAGAGCACTTGCACCCCAATCCCCAGTTTTCAAAGGCACAGATAGCATGCAGGGTTTGGAGAATGTAGCCCTTGGAATTCAATATTTTGGCCTCATAAAGCCACAGATTGTGGCTTCCAATCTTTTACATTAATTTTTTTCTTTAAGAACAGCTTCACAAGGGATCTGCATGCAGAGTTATAATGAAAGCAGCCCATCTGATGGCTGTTTGATGGCCTATGTGAAATGAGTTAGTGGTCTCATTCCAGTTCCCAGCAGGCAAGCATTGCAGCACAATAACCACCCCCGCAATTGGCACTAACAGTGATTTGTAACCTTCTTGGCAGTCTCAACAAAAAGGACAAGGCATGAATGAGTTATTTTCCCCTCCCTCAGAATATTCCCACCAGTTTAAGGATGACACCCATTGGCAGGTCACTGTGGGAAGCTTGCATGGCTGCTGCCTGTGCTGTACTTATTCTGTGGAAATGCAGTCTCCAGGGCTAAGAATCTGGAAACTTTCATAAGCATTAATTTTATGTGATGTTTCTTTTTTAAAAGAATGTAGCTCTGGCAGAATTTTTAGCACTAGTCGAGATAAATACCTATCAGAATCCACTAATTTATCTATTGACATGATTAAATTAATGAACAAAATGCTACTGTACTGTATTCCAATAATGTTTAAGCATAAAAATAAACATTATTCATTTTTCCTGGCATATTAATTTATTGAATGTACTTATGAAACTAGTGTGCATGGGGGAGAGTTGTCCCTAAAAAAAATTCTGTTTCAGTTCAAGTTAATTCATATTCTCTATCCATGCATAAAAACAACTGAGCTATGAAATTGGGCAGCATGTTTTCTGGCAATAATGAGAAGATAATATTCCTATGGAGTATTTAAGCGACATCACTATTGATAGGTTAATTAGAAATAAAAATGTGAAGCTTTCTTAAGTCATTAGAATAAAGAGCCTCCAGCATGTGACTTTTGT